GAATGAGTCACTCCGGCGGCCCCAGGACGGACAGGAAGATCTATCCTGGGTGACAGCCATCTGCTTCACCCCCTGAGCCACCCACCCTTTCCTCTTATTCTCCCCAGTTTTTTCTCCTCCTCCTCGTCATCCAGTAGGACACCACCCCCGCCATGCCTCTGCTCGGTACATGTAACCCCCCCCCCTTCCCATCCAATGCTTACCCATCATGTCGAGGCTTATGAGCAGCGCAGTTCAGCCCAGGGGTGCGGAGGCACGCGGGCATGTGCTGCGGTGACCTCGATAGACCCACGTCGCCTTCCCGCGTTTTACATAGTTAATCGCATGATCCAAAATAAACGACTTTGCCTCGATTTACTAGGCTAATCTAAACCAGTGAAAAGACCCCGGGAGGAAACCGAAGTCTATATTCAGCCCCCTCTGAAAGAGCGCAATTCCCAATTAATTATATTTGAGAAACACCGGCGAAGCGCCTCGCCGCTCGGGGGCTGGGATCTTATCCCGCACTATAGTATTTTCCCCTATTACTAATTAGGCTTCTCCTAACAGCTATTTGATGTTTCCTAAACATATACGGATGTTTCCCTATATGTTAGTTTTCGCGCGGGGACTCCGGATTCCCTTCTCCCTGACACATCCAGCTCGGCTTTTTATGCTTAAGCCAAATAAAGTGATGTCGCAAAGGAGTGTTTTCAGTTTATAAGCAGGAAAGTATCATGAACCTCAAACCTTTATAAATTAGTTCATTTGCGGGTTTTCTTCTGAGACCGGGTTACTCGCGGCACCGCGGGGGTGGAGCGCTGTAATGTTATTTCCAAGTTATTTGTAACACAATAAACTACGAAAACGCTAAGTGCTTCACCGGGGTCACCGTGTGAGGCGAGACAACCAGATTTTGTCTTACCGAACTTAATGAAAATCGGAAAACACTGCAATATAGGTCTATATAGGTAAAATACTCTATGAAATAATGTAGGCTATAATAAAGAGTAATAGAACAAAAAAGTTACCGGTAGCAATGACAGGTTAATTAACCCAAATATTTTGGCACAGCGGAATTTAGGCTATTTCATTCGAGTATGAGAAATTACTCCTGGTGAATATTTTCAGGCACATATATATGTCCAGGTCTGACTCACATCTGGTCCGCGGTCGTATTGCAGGTTCACGATAATAAAAAAAAACACATGAAATAAATCACAAAAAAGTACCGCGATCATAAACTGTCGAGTCTCCTACCTTGTAGACATTTTCCGTTATACGGTGCACCTCGTCCGTACGAGACATACTGAAATCTCCAGCCAGGACCATAGACTAGATGTTTTCCCCTTTAGAGATGAAGCGCTATCCGAGCAGAGAGTACGACAATGAGACTAATGCAGCGATGTCAGACCTCGGGGAGAAGCCCAAAAACACGGACGAGGCTCGGCGATCTCGCAGCTTTTATACGGAGCTCGCCCCCAGCGCCCACTCGGACCCACGCACTCTCTCACCGTACCGGGAGAGAGGGGACTAGTCATACCGGCAGCATTTTACAATGAACCGGTCCCCGCCTCTGACCACGCCAACTCCTCCCACGGCTACGCCTCCCTGCCCGGCGCCCTGGAGCCGCCCGCCTGGCCGACCAGCCGTCATTCATTCATGTGGCCTGTATTTACAGCGCATTTTCACGCAGCATCACGGACTGATACCGATGCCAAGGCCCATGCGTCTGCATTTACGCTACACATCCGGCTCTTCCAGCTGCCATTCAAAAATAATAATAATAAAAAAACACCCCCATTGTCTTCAACCGCAGTGTTGTCATATAACAGTATAAGAGCAGTCCTTGATCTTATTTTCTTCCAGCTCAGTCAAGCGTATTTATATAGAATCAGCATATTAATCAAGATGCCCCTGCTGTGTCTCAAGTGAATATTAATCGGCTAGTTAGGCACGTTCTACGCTGTCCCCGTGGGCTATTGAACATAAGGCATGGTTATATATTAATGGAATAGTTTAATCAGTGATGCGGAGCTTCAGTTTACCCGCAACCCGACGTCGTGGGGGGGGGGGGGGGTGTCATTTACAATGCGATTAATCCATCGCAGTTTGTACGTGAAAGGAGTATGGATATTGAAAGTGTAGCGGTGAGATTGTTATAAATGGGGAATATAGGCAGCGGACGTGATGGCGAAGTGTGTATGTGGGTATTTGCGGGAGGGGTGCCGGAGGTGGGCTGCTTTCGCTCGGCGGCCGGTGCCGGTACACTGTGCGGCGTGGGCGGGGAATCCTGCACCTCCTCTTCGGCGAGTCACGACGTCTTCAGAAAAACGATCTTCTCGCTGCTTCTTCCTCTTTCAGTATGTACTTCCCAAAACCCATTGAAATACCAAAATATCCACCGAAAGTGATATAAAAACACACAGCATTCACTGTACACCTAGTTCTCCCGCACCCTGCTGTACGATGCGGCAGTTTAAGAGTTAATGGTCCAGACTATTAACCAAAAAGTTGCCCGGATCAAAGACTAGTAAAGGTTGGTACCTCTGCGGAAGCACCTGCATCTGAACGAGTGAATAAAACGTAGACTATAGCGTGAAATAGACTATATATACAGCTGTGTCTACATAAAGTGTCCGCTAAGCAAACCATCACAGTAATAAAAGCACTGCGGCAGACACGCATTGTTAACCTCCTGCTATTCCTGACGGCGTATCCGGATCTCCAGCCGATATCGGCTCTTTGTGATCAATACCTACGAGATTAAGCCGTAAGCACGCTGCACCATCGCTGACAGGGGCGCCTTGCGGCAGCGGATCGGAACCAGCGGTCCTTAACGCCCGCTGTCACTCAGTCCGAAGCGGATCTCTAGTCCTTAGAGCGCACCGATGCCGAGCCTTGCCCCCCCCCCGCCTCCCCTCAGCGCAGTCCGGTTCCTTGTTTAAAAATATCAGCTATAGACGTCATGCTGGAAGAGGACAATCAATCAAGATAAATGAAATACGGTTTTTGATTATATAACAAGTGCTCCATTGTGGAATACGCACAGGCCCACGTGCTTGAAGGAAACAATTGGATGCTTTTAAATGCGTAGGCAGCTATTACTAAAATACAAGTGCTTATGGTTTTTAGACTGCAGAGAGGCCGGGGTCTGCTGGAATTCAACAGTTGAGAAAAAATTAATCAGTCCCACCGACAGTCGAAAAATGTCCAGGTTAAAGTCCTCGACCCGATTTGCAGCATTAAACATTAAACTAATCATGTTAGTGAAACTGTGAGCTACGCAAGGTCTAGCTTCTAAAAGCACTTATATTAAAACGTAAAAACTATTTTCGGCGTTTATTACCTAGCCTCGGCCTACGTTGCTTGCTTAAACTGTTTCCTATTGGAAATTTCAATTACAACCATGAAATGTCATCATGTAGTGTGCAGATGTGCTTATTAACCAGAGCAGGACGCAGTTAACATATTCAGTACGTACATTATGCGCCTCAGTTTAACTTCTTCGGGGACATATAGGCATATGGGAATGACACGCTACGTTACAATTTGAGGGATTCCTGCATTATGGAAAATGAGGCTAGATCAGCCAAAGGGGACGAGGTGTTCTGCTTTAGACGCAGCATTACATGGCGGCGCAGTCAGACACTAATCCCCTGCAGTGATTTGGAGACTCCTTTTCATGCACGAATTCACTTTAGGGCTGAATTTACAGCCTCCCCCTCCAGCAAAATGAAAAAGGCGAACATAACGCTGCTAGCGCCTCCTGCTGGACACTGAGGGACAATCTGATCCCCGTTCCTAAACGCACCCTCCAATCCGTGCAGGTTGGTGCGATGTTATTTTTAGAGATGCGCCGGGAAACCAGGACTGCCTGCCTAAAATTAAGGATCCCCCGGTGTATCCGGAAGAAATATCACATTTTCCCACATTCCTTACATGGGGCATAGAATTTTAAAAAACACCTCCAATCCAAGGATGCCATACTTGGGTAAATATAAAAACGAAAATGCACAATTTTGCTAACGTCCAAAATACTGCGAAATATGTCTTGCATCTATAATACATGAAAAACGCAACAGGCAGCGTCCTTGGAAAATGAGTAGGTCTACATTCTGGCTCCGTCTGCACTGAAGTTTATCACATAGCACCAATAAGTTACCCCGCGGTAATGTCATCGCCCCCGTCAATGTGTGAACGCATCACCAATGAAATGTCAAAATCTCTGTGAGTCTTAGTGATGATAAAAAAAAACATCACTATATTTTATCCCATCTAAAACGGTTGCCCTGGAAAAAAACACTGTTTTACGACACTGAGCGCAAACGAAAAAACAGAAGTTTACAACAACCTCAACACCAACCGGGATCCAATAGTAACCCCAATACTCATAATTACTATCAATATGGAATGTGGTGAGAGGTAGAAAGATGGTACTCTATTCCTCCTTGTCGGACATCGCTGTTAGCGGTACGGAGAGCGGCGTGCTGCGCATGTGCCACCAGCCCCCGGGTTTCGGACCGGAGCCGATAAACGGCAGCGGCCGGTCGGACGGCCAGGGCCGGGGAAGGCCGGCGCCATAATCATCCGGCGTGCCTTAATATAGCCCGGTTTCCGAAAAATCTCCCAGGGAAACACTTTGTACCCCCGCCCACTCGTTTCATACTTTTTTCGGTTACATTCTCATTTCGTGATTCACCGGCCCACGGTCTTTCTGTCGTTCTGGGCTCCGTATTGGCAGAAAGCGACCCGCGCCGAGTCCAGCCGCGGCCGCTTTAATTACGGCTCGTCATCTAGGTGGCGATGATTACACCGCGGGCGGCGCAGCACCGGTTTTAATTAGCGTCGTGACATAATTAGATTTACAAACGGGGGTTCTGAACGAATGGAGGGTGTGAGCCATGGACCATCAGCCCGACCATAGGCCTGTAGAATATACTGTTTGGAAGCTAAAACGGACGCATAGCTGGAGTGGAACGTGGGGGAAAAACCACCAGTTATCTACCAGAACACAAGGGTTATCTGAAAGAATTAAAAACTTTTATTGTGCAGGAGGGACTGAAAGGGGGAGCACATTCTAAAAACGCAAACTTATTTTGTAACCACCGGCAAATGTTATCAGGAGGTCCACGGGTATAATTAAATTCCAGTGAAGTGGAACAGCTAGAATGTAGCCATTCCTGCAGGACTGAATGATATCCGCAAGTCCATAACAGACAGAAAAAGCTTGGGGGGGGGGTTGCCATTTTGGGTTAAACAGTGAATTCTGCATCAGTTACAGGGGTCCACTAATACCACTAATATCCTGTTAATTTTGAGAACATGCTGGTTTAAACAAACATAACACAGACTGAGCAGTTTGCTGCCTGGGTCACCATAACCAAACCAAAGGATGCTGACCCAAAGCCCAGGGCACAGCAGGGCACAGCAGGGCACTAACCCACTTCCTGCCAGATGTGGCTGCATCATCTTCGCTGTGGGAAACCCGGCAGTGATGAGGTGATATTCAGGAGCAGAGGTAAGCTGCCGAGGACAGGATCAGCCCCCACGTGGCTGGGAAAGCGACCCAACGCGCTCACATGACCGGGAGCAGGTAGCTGGTCAAGCCAGGAATGCGTTTTGGGGGGGGGGGCAGTCAGTCTGACACAGAACAGGGGTACGACAATGGGGAAGGAGAGCGGGAAGGAGAGCAGGAAGGAGAGCGGCAGAGAGCATAACAGCACTGAGGGCATTCTCAGTAAAGTCAGGCCTCCAGCCTAACTGGCCCCTGAGCTGGGGGGGGGCGGGGGTGTTATGCCACAGGAGCCACCCGCCTGAGCTCCAAGGGGGAGTCTGGGAGCAGAGGGGGGGGGGACAGGGGACGGCAGGCAAGGGCGAGGGTCCCGCTAGGGTCCCGCTAGGCCACCAGCATCTCCGACTGGGTCTTCACCCTCTTCCTCTCTGGAAAGCAAAAATAAATAAATAAAGCAAAAAATAAATAAATAAAAATAGCTCTCTCTCTCTCTCACACACACACACACACACACACACACACACACACACACAATCAGTGGAACAGCATCTTCTGAGCAGCAGAAACAGCTATGCAGAGTCTCCAAAGCCCCAGCTTAGTCAGCATTTCCTCCCCAAGCAGCACAGCGTCTCAATGGGCAGACTGCAGACTGACCTTACAGAAGAAAGCCGTCCGACTCCCGGTTCCGTGTGGGACCCCCCCCCCCGGCATGCCATCTTAGGTGGCCCCTGCACCCATGCACAGAATCTAACCTCGTGTCACATGGAATTTAATCCTCGTAACTGACGGTACCTATTCTGCTTTTACAGTGCCGGCTGCTATTAAATCATTTTTAGTGATAACTAAGTTAGCTTAAACTGAAGTACTGTTACTCAGGCAATAGCCGGACACCTCAGCCCAGAACGCTGTACACTATTGGTCGATGCACTGCAGATGTACAATACAGTCTGGTTACGTGACGCGGGGTGGGGGGCAGAATGTGAAATTCAGCAACCTTCACACTCTCCCCAGGTTGGGGGTACAGGGAAAGGTGGTCATACCCAGTTCTTCTGCAGGAACCTCCGGCAGTTCCTCCTTAGGAACGTCAGGGAGGGACACATCTTCTCCCTGCGGAGCCCAAGAGAGCAACAGCCACGATCAGTTTGACACTTTCATTACGCAGCTGAGCGCCGTCACTGCAGCGTCAGGATCCCAGGAGTGCCAGTGTTCACCTCAGGGAGACTGCCCAACATGCTGGGGTTACTGTCGCTGTAAGGAGGCGACGAGAGGAAGGAGAGACGGGGCGGGGGGCGCGACCCACCTGCGTGATGGCGTCCAGCTCAGCCAGCACCGCGTCCTCGTCCTCCTGGGTCAGGGAGCCCGCCAGCATGTCGTCGATTTCCTAAAATGGGCACAGGAAACGAGCGCCAATTAAGACAAAGGTGGGTGAGGGAGGAGGCCAAACTCACAATAACGGCAATGAAGAAAGCCCACCCTCTGGTACTCAATGGCATCCTGCGTCTCGTCCATGATTCGCTCCACTTCCTCTATTGACATCACCTGGAAGGTAAGGGAAGGTGGCTCAGAGGCAGCCAATCACAGCAGTCACTGTAAAAGGCAGGGCTCCCATTGGTGGGCTCCAGAGTGGGACGGCCTTCCTGGAATATAGAGGCTTAGCAGAGGCGTCCCAGGAGATTTGGGCGGTGATCCATTAATCTTACTGATCATAAACTTAGGGGGGGATGGGGGGCATGACGACACAAACAGATCCCTGCAAGGACCTGCGGCAAGAGTGCACAACTGGCACTCTAACCCCCTGTATGAACATTAATGCCATCTTCCCCTCCCACTGCGTCAGCAGTGCATTCCCCAGCGACTGGGGGGCGGATTATCACACACCGGGTTAATCCACTGCCACCAATTAGCCATTCCTACATGAAGGAAGGTTAGCAATACACAAACAGCTGACTGCAACATGAGAAAAGCTGGCTGTACCCATGACAGGTCTCTGCTTTCTGCTACACAGTCAGCGGTTATCGCAGTTAATCAGTTCATCTCGTAACATCTGAGGAGCAATTCTAGCAAGAAAGCCAGAGCTCCAAAACTGTTGCCCCGGGGCCGCCGAGATGTCGGCTCCTGTTCCGTTTGCGAGCACCAGCAGTACAGCGGACGACCAGCTTCAGCATCAATACCTCATGCATCTTCTTCAGACAGTCGTTACCAATCTTCAACCCCTCGATGACCTTCATCTCAATCTGGGCAAACTCAATATCTTGGACCTATACAAGCAACACTTGTGTTAGTTTCTTTCTTTGGTAAAACTTACCACTTCACAATAAAATTGTGAATATAAAACAATAATAAATATGCAAGACTGTCTTAACTGTCACCAAGTGGAAAACAGACAGATTATACTGAGTGTGCTGGCTTTTGTGAGAGTCAGTACTTTCCCACAAAGGGTGTACAGTGGTCAGGCCTGGGGGGCCACGGAAGCACCTCCTCACCATCCGCTCCAGGTTGCCGATCTGGTTCTCGGTTTTCTCCAGCAGCTGCTCTTGGTATCGCTTCTTCTTGAGCAGAAGTAGGGCCTTCCTGTGTCACACCAAGAAACCAGCACACATCAAAAACCAGGCAAACTCCCTTCGTCTAGCTCTGACGAGCGAGTCTTTGGCCATTACCCTAGCACACTTCACCTCACACAGTAAATTAAAAGCAGGTGTGAGAGAAACTCCAGCAAATCCACAAAAATATAACAGACACTGAAATCCATTATATTCTGTGACTACTGTGGACTGGGGCTTCTGCCACAAACTATCAGGGCCTGAAAAAGTAAAAAACAAACAGCGATAATATAAATCTGAATATCATGCATGTATCCTACTACACACTAATATAAATGCACACTGGTATTCACTGTAACAGTATTTCCCAGCTGGGAGCTGGTCTATCTTCCGGTCACAGTCTAACGTTGGAACATTATGACACGAACAAAAAGACACGGCGTCTTACTCCTTCTTCCCATCCTTGAGCAGCTGCCGGGCCAGAAGCCGCTCCTTCTCCAGCTGTAGGGTGATCTTTTTCTGGTACTGCTTCAGCTTATCTCTCTGTTGCTTCAGTTGCTGGATGCCAACAAGAACAGGAACAGAAAGCGAGGAGAGCCGGGCTCGTTACACACGGACGGTTCGCCGCTACTGTCAAAGACACTATGCACGATTTATATGAACCGACTCGCCTATTGATGTATATTTAATGCCTCTGCATGGAAACACAGACAAGGCCCTCCGCAATATGCAGGCAACACATGACGAAAATATGGTAACATCGCCCAATGGGAAACCCAACAATAGGATTGTGGGGACAACCTAACTAAGCATGGATTAGTGTGTTTAAATCTGCAGTGGTCATCCTGATGGTGGGCCAGAGCAGACGGTGAACCCAGTACGAGGTGCTGCATCCGACAGTCAGAAGCTCACCAACACCGCCTTGTCCTGCTCCGTCACTCGAGTGCGTCTCTTTCGGCCGAAAACGTTTCCCATCGTGAAGCCGCATCCCCACCGCCCTGGGAGCGAGATCCGGGCCCTATGGTGTCGCACAGCAGCGCTCCCTGACTTCCATAACGGCACAGCGAGGCGAAATAAAGACGGAGCGCGTCGGCCACGGACAGCAGCAGCGCACGTTAAAAACAATCGGAATAGACCACGCCCCTGGACGCGGAGGGTTACGGCGGCCGCGAAGTGACAATCCGCACGTGTGCGTGTCTGCGGCGACTGCGGTACAAGGGGACCTGCGATATATAACGTAAAATAGTTTACGAATATATAATATACTGACAATTATTAAACATTAAATATAACAGGAAAACTACCGAGTTATTAAATTTGCATGCTTTGATTTTACAGACTAAACAGCATCGTGCAACTTACCTGAAAATACTCCAAGCAAAGTTAATAAAAAAATTCGTTCTATTTAACTTCAGGGTAAGCTTTTCGGGGACGCGGTAACGACGGACGCCCAGTGTCATGCTGCTAGGTGCAGCAGTCGGGGGAGGAGCTGCGCTTGTCTTTTCAGTAAGATTCATCAGTAATACGAACTCTATTAATATACACCTATTACAATTAAAGCAAAAACAGAAACTTTGTAGTTACATGGTTGTTAGCACTTTTGATAAGTTATCTAAACATCCAAAAATGTAAAGTTGTAGAAACTCAACTAAACCCAAAATGAAATAAATCAGATGGAGTCTGGCTAACTGGGCACGGTGAGCTCACGCTGCTTCTGCTCTTCTTCTACCCTAAGTGCCGCTGGGTCGGGCAGGACTAGGGAGGAGGAATCCATAACACAGGCTTTTGGCGACAGATTGGTGCGGCTCAAACCTCTCGGGGGATAAAATAGTTAACCATCTTAACTAGTTACATCACCTGGTCCTATTTACATTTGTTGCCGTTAACTCTTTATAAAGAACGGGAATCTACACACAGTGAGGATATTAAGATTCAAACACCACTTCCTGAGAAAGCGGTGTCTCATAAATATTAACCATTGCGACACCACAAAACCATATAGAAACGGAGTAATTCATTACACCTTAAAGTGAAGAGATTAGGCTATTTTATGCAAGAAAAACTAAAAGTCCTGAAAGAGAGGCAAAGACGAGCCAACTGTAGTTGCATTTATTAATCAAATATTTACTTTAAAGGTATTACTGTATCGCACAAAGGTTTCAAAAGGTCAGAGGTCACCAGAACAAACTGTGAGCAGATAAACAAAATATAGTACACAACTTAATAAAAGTAATCCGAAAAATATATCAGTGTACACGTTATCTAAGAGATACCATGACCGGGAAAAAAATAAAATTACAAAATCTCATACATGAAATTGATCAAGGTCAGCCAAACCACTGTTTTCCCCAGTAACAGTCCAATTTGTTTCAAAACTATTTTTTTTGTGAACTACAGAGGTTGATCATTAAGTGGGGATTTTACAGGAATATTTTGGTATTTGTTTTAAAAATGGATAGAAAAACTAAAAAGGAAAGAGGGTGTACCTCCCCGTAACATGTCGTCTACGGTCTGGACCAGAAGGGGGTGTACCTCCCCGTAACATGTCGTCTATGGTCTGGACCAGAAGGGGGTGTACCTCCCCGTAACATGTCGTCTATGGTCTGGACCAGAAGAGGGTGTACCTCCCCGTAACGTACCATCTACAGTCTGGACCAGCTGATGTGGTTTGGGCAGATATCTACAGCTCCATGTACTGGGCACTGTATCGGTAACGGTCAGCCTCAGACGGTGAGGTGTGTGCGTCACTGGGTGGCATGACACACAGCACAAGTGGCAACACAGAACAAACACACTGATATTACCACAGGCTATAGCGCCGTGACAACACAAATATTATAAAACATACCGAATGTATGGAGTACACTGAGCATACAAAGCATTGAGTTTGGCTTTCCCCAAATCAACTTCACATAACTATTACAGCAAGAATTTCATGTTGGTTACATTATAGTTATGCATTTATATAAGATGCATTGCATATGTAATTATATCCATAACTTATATCCACATTTGTGAAAATAACATCAACCAAACTCAGACCAAATCTTATCCACCACCCAGGTGAAAATCAGGGTTGAACCAACCAGTTACAGATTTAAAAAATTCTTACCAATAAACCCTTAACAATTTGCTGGCTTTTTACCAATTACAAGCATCCGTAATGCATCGCCTGGTACGTAATATAGAAATAAGTAGTCATTAGCTCTACTGAAAGGCAAACATGCTTATAGAGTGTCAGAGAGAAAAGGATGTAAACCCATTGGAATTCTCTGGATCTTTTCCTGAATGTAATGTCATCTTCATCCAAGTCATGGGCATCTACAACAATCAGCACACCCAACACTGTCATATCTACATTGAATAAATGTTTTAATAAAGTGAGGACAGCAATGGGGAAAAGGTCTGTGTGCCTTCAGGATAAGTGGAGCTCAGCTGTGGGTTGATCTGCTTGGATTTATAAAATATAACAGAACTGCAGGTATCTGTTCTTTAGTGTTTGTGGCACTAGAAGAGATTTCAGGGGACCCAGAAGAAGAGCCACAGAACCCCTGGGTGATCTGTAGCTGTCGCTCACATGATAATATCCGTTTAGGCGAAAAAAAAAAAAAAAAAAAAACACACATACAACTGGAGTGGTTATCAAGGGTGATTACAACACAGGAAACCACGAAGAAGTGGCTGCCCATCTCAGGTTTGCTGAAGACCAGCTGGCTGGTCCTGGAGTGATGTTCTGTCGACATCTGAAACACAAGTTCAGCATTCTGATAAAGTTACAGAGCATTGAGTTTGGAGGGAAAAAAAAAATCACCTCGTTGCTAATAAGAAGTGTTGGGCTGGGATTATATAACAGAGAAGTTCTGCTCTACTGCCTTAGGGCATCTGAAATCAAATGTCCCGACGTCCGCCAAGGATCCAAAACTCAAAATAAGCAATATGACTGAGCCAAAAGACGGGAGACGGTAGTGTGACTGGAAACAGGCTGTCCAAGCAAGACTGCCCAGAAACAAGCACTTCTACGTTGGGCAACTAGCTAATTTGCTTCCCAGCTGCTGCAGAGGTCTCAGAAAGCATTTCATTGAGGTCACTTATTAAAGGGGGGGGGGGTTCCACCAATTAATAAGCAACAGCTTCACACCCCACCCCTAACCTTGACTGCCGAAAGCTTTCGTTCAATAAAGATAGAGCAATGTACAATTATTCTGTAGATGATCAAAACTAGACAATTCCAATGGATTCACCAACACTCACAGAACTGCAAACATATCCACATGCAGTGAGAAAACCCAGATGGAGTAAATCAGTCACCTACTGAACATCACTGAAAAGCTTCTCATAAAGCCAGCTGACTGGGGTGACGTCACGGAAATCCATTCCCATCGAGCTACAGTTTAAATTCAGCCCTTAGAACGCAAGCAGTGTGATTAAAAAAAATAAAACGCTGACAATTCATGGGATGAACACAGCGGGGGTTTCAAAGCCTTTCCACTGCATTGTTACCCTCAGGCGTCTTTAGATGTCTCTGATACTGAAACTATATATTTTCCAAACATTCCCAATTCACTATATCGGAGGTGTCAAGCCATATCATTGACGTGTTGAGTATATTCTTCGTGCAACTTTTAAAAAAACCCTCATTCCTCACAGCCCCCTATAAAAACAGTGTGTATTAACAAGAGCTATTTCCCAGTCCCGTTTCTCCATTTGCCAATTCCTGCACCGAGACAATTGGTTCATCTCTCAAAAGGTGGCATCAGAGAGGAAGACCATTAATGGTCATTCCAGAGACCCACATAAATAAAACGGCACCAGCACCCCCCCTAGTCATTTCACTGACGTACCATTAAAATGTCCCCACAAATCACCTCAAATGTAAAATCATCAGTTAAAATCTGGTACAAGTCACCAGTTTCCAATAAAAAAATGTAGTAATAAAGAATTAATGAGCGTAAAATGCAGTATTACAAGACAAATGTTTCCCATGTCAACCAGGTAATCCAATCACATCACACGGCCCTCATGACTGGCTTAAATGCCCCCTCCGTTAGGAAATTGGGTCAGATCTGGCAAATGATGTACATCCACATGCTAGGTGACCATCAATGACACTCGCTGCTGCCAGATTCTAAACAAATAATAAATAAAAAGGCTGCTTATTTTCTGCCAGTTCACCCCCGCAACCCCCAAGGAAGGGGAGTGTGTTAATCATCCCTAATGCCCAGCTGTACTCCCTCGCCCCCCCCCCCCATTCCAACAATGACACCCTTTGAATACTGCATGTCAATATTGTCGTCACATCAACAACACAACACGCAACCACGCACGCGTGAAACACCAGAGCAGCCCGATATCAGGTCATGTGACTATCGGGCAGGAGGCTGCGGTGCGAGAAGCCAACCAAGGGGCAGCAGAACATCAAAAACACACCCCGCAAAGGCCATTAACGTCTTTGGCTACTACATTCGAAGCAAACCAAGCCTTAGAAAATGAACACCTGCAGAACAGAATGGCTCAGCCCAGAGGCTAGAACCCAAAGGATGTGGAGAGGATGCAAGGCCCCCCGAGCCCCCAGCCCCGAGCCCCCAGCCCCGAGCCCCGAGCCTGCATCAGCGTCTCTGGCTGGGGCTGCAGAATGCTACATATGCAGGAGCCTTAGCGCTGTTAGCTTTTAGCATTCGCCCACCGCGCTTCCTCAGTGGGGGGGGGGCAGGGTCACAGGCTCGCTGGCTGCATCCACACCCCTGCTCCAACTTAGCCTGCCCTCCACCCCAGGCGGATCGTGTCACGACGACGCCGCAAGGCCCAAAACCCCCGTCACTGGCATGCAGGTTCTGCGTGTGCAAGCATGCGGCACAGAGACTGCTCCCAGGGTCTGTGGGAGCTCGGATGGTGGTGGCTGCGGCCAAGCCCACCCTCCACAGTGCAAGCTGACCCCCCCAGAAGAAAAAGTGCCCACTTCCCCCCTCCCCACACCCACAGTTCACCTGGAAAGACAAAAAAGAAAACAGGCCAAAATCGCTTGAAGGCAAAGGGCTCTCAGCAACTGAAAACAGAATTCGGAGGAGCACTTCTGAACCAGATGAAGACCAGAAGTCAGACGTCCTGGTTGTTCTTTATAAGGAATCACGGCTCACTTGTCCAAGACACGAGCAAAACACTAGTGGTGGTCTTCACTGTGGTCCGACTGAGCTCCAGCATAGATGGAGTGTCCTTAATACGAGACGTCTACGTGTGTCTTCATGCGCTGTATCGCCACCTAATGGTGAGTGACTGAAGTGGCGAGACACTTTGGTCAAATCGGGCGAGGAGTACGTTCTGATGTTCTCATGGGAGGGACATGGAGCCAAAGTGCGGACTGATGACTGATCCTCAGCTCCCGAAGAGGAAGGTGGACTATGATGCACGCCATCGATCGCCTCTAGGTGTGTCTCCTGACAGGACGCCACGTCGTCGGCTAAAGGCTAAGCTAAATGCTGGTGGGCTACATGGTTAAAAGGGATTTAAAAGGAGGCCCGACGGGAACGCGGCTCCTCGGTGCAGGAGAGCGGCTCAGGCCGGATGCTCGGTGCAGGACGGGAGACGGGCCGGCGTGCCGCAACTGGTGGTGGGGGCGTCTGAAACACCAGCATGTAGACACTCCCTTGGCACTAGAGGGCGCCATGCTGCCCCACCTCACCCGGACGCAGTGCCAGTATGGCCAGCCAGCCATCTGGAGGGTTTAAATGCAGTTCAGGGTGGGAGGCAGCGGTCAGGTCGGGGGAGGCGGGGGTGGCGGATGGGGGTGGGCGGATCACAGCTGGTTCACAACGCTGTCAGGGTGACTGATCGACACGGAGCTGTCCTGCTGAAGCCGCTGCCACTGGAAGGTGGTGCTCTGGGAGCCATGTTCGTCCTCCTCATCCTCCTGCTCTTTCGTGAACTCCATGAAGACCTGGGTGGGGGGGGGGGTTAGGCATGGAGGATCACGGGTGTCGGACCTCATTTGTGGCTTTGATGAGCACGCAGTCATACCTGCTCTAAGGTGGACTGAGAGAAGTTGTACTCCTCGAAATTGAAAGTCTTCTTGGCTGCAAAAACAGAGAGGTGGTGGGGGGGGGTGTGCGGGGGGACAAGAGTCAAGAGTGAGAACCACGTAGAAGGCGGTGTGGGGTATATGCCGGTAGCCCCCCCCCCCCCAGCTGCTGACTCACCTCTCTCCAGCTGGGCGAAGGAGTTAGCTAGAGATATCACATCCTCCATAGGGATCTTATAGACCATCAGGGTTGTGAAGCTGGTGAACAAGAGGCGACAAATTCAGGGTTCGTCACTAACCCCCCCGGAGTTCCCCCAACGGCGCGAATGACTAAACGCCGCGCCGTGAAGCTCCCACCTTTCCTGCCGCGCAGCATGTGGGAAGATGGCCCGGATCTCCTTGTGCAGCAGCGCCACCTGCTGCAGACCCATCAGCTCCTCCCGCAGTTTCACCTCCAGACTGTAGCCACGCCCGTACTTGCTTTTCAGGTGCTGGATGGACCCGATGCACCTGGCAGAAAGGTGGTCAGAGCCCGACCGTGACAGGACACTGAATGTGGAGCCCCTCTGCCAGACCAAGCGCACAGGGAAGGCATCCATCTTGTCTGGGACCCCAAGGTTTCACTTTCTCCTGTAACCCGGTCAACAGACCCTCCTCTGCCCTCAGATGGCGCTCTTACACATTTTATATACTACGTCATCCAACTCTAACCACTGATCACTAACACTGATCACTGTTACATCTGTCCATGATGCCGTTCTGAATCTGTCACAAATTTACTGGAAACTCATTTTGGGAATGACACTACACTGAAGTTAAATAAACCAAAAATATTACAGATTTTAAGAGTTGGAGCCATTGTGCGCCCTCTAGTGCCGGAAGAGGGTACTTCTCATTGCGACTCAGCCGCTCTTGGAGGCTCCTCCCTCACCTCAGCTGCCCCGACACCATGATAGCCACCCGGTCACACACTGCCTCTGCTTCTTCCATGTAGTGCGTGGTCAAGATCGCCCCCCGCTGGCTATTCATGAAAGCGGCACGAATTGCCCTCCTGTGGACGAGCATGGAAACTGCGTGAAGAACGAGTGAGCTCAAAAAACGGTATCGTTATTATCTATGATTCAAATGTATAACCAGGAAATCAGGCCGGTTCCGGTCCAACCGGCTTCTGCTTACCACATACGCTGCTTAGACTTGGGATCCATGCCAGTGGAGGGCTCGTCCAGGAGAACGATCTGCGGGTTTCCCAGCATGCTCAGGGCGAAACAGAGCTGTGGGAAGGGGCAAACGGAGCTCGGGACCTATAACCCAAGGGCTGCACCCGTGACCGGACCGCCTGGGACCGGACCCGTGACTCGAGGGCCGCCTGGGACCGGACCCGTGACTCGAGGGCCGCCTGGGACCGGACCCGTGACCCGA